CCAACGAACGAGGGATCGTGGCCTCGGGGGCAGGGGGTATGCATGGGCTAGTCCGGCAGTAGAAATGGGGGGGTCCGAAGTAGAGCGCGCTACAGAGCACCACCTGGCATTATCGTACGCCTGTGCCGTGCAGGCACGAGGTCAGCATTGTCGTGGGGCGAGGTTACCAGGTTGGGTCGTTGTTACACGGTTCGGGGGACCCGCGAGGGCCTAAGGAGGTCGAACATCGTCACATAGCATCTTTCAGTTCTTCAGGGCGCACCTCCGAGATTCTCACCGGTTTGAGCTCGTACATATCAGTGATTGGGACGATTTCGAGGGTTGCTCGAAGAGGGCGAGTTGAGACATCGGTAGTTGGCTCTGGGGACCCCTCTACCGGGAAGGGTGTGAATGTTCGGGAAAGTGCGTGATGCAGCTCGCGAATTCTGCGGTTGCGGAGAAGAATTATGTTGCGCGTTCATACGAGAATGGCATTCTGAAGTGCAGGTCTTGCACGTGATTCGGGAAGCCTCTGAGTGCGCGCACGCCTGTCGATGCTCTGCGGGCACGAGGATGGGGACGGGAGGGGCAACAACACAACAAGAAAGCCTTGCGTCCAGATGGACGCATTGGCAGGAGAAGTAATGCGGCCAAACGCCACACGAACCATTCGAAGCACGGGGGCGCTACAAACCGCCACACCTGGGAATTACAGCGGCTGTGAGGACGACGGTGAAAGATCCTATCACCTGCTCACACATGTTGCAACAACTTGTAATTTGAAGACGCCCATTGTTGTCTCGGTCGTCCGCGTCCGCGCTTGCAAGCCCAACCCTTCGGCGACCCACCGCCATTGCAGAGGACCCGATGCACCAAAGCTGTATGCCCATGCATGACAATATTCTCGTACGGCTTCACTTGTCTACCAGCCAAAACTTGCGATAGCGGTTCCGCTCCAGCCTGGCCCAGAACGCTTGCGTTGCTGACACGTGATCTGAAAGAATGTGGGATCCCAAGAATGCGTCGCAAACATCGGCAATGAAAGGAATCGAGCCCGCATCTGTCTGCCTTCAGCAACCACAAAGAATCCAAACAATATAACAACTTGCTCAAGACAATGCTGTCGTAGATCTTGTGCTTCTGCCTCCATTCAAGAGATGCGTGCGACCAAAGTTTGCTCAGTTGCTTGAACAGCTTACTTGGCTCTCCCCATCTTCTGCATAGCTCCGCCGACGCTCCGTCACATGTAAGCACACCTCCCAAATATACAGCGTCCTGTACAGTCTGAATGTCACCACCACTTGGTGTCGTAACCTTTTGATTCGTGGAGATCTGCATTTGCACTGTCTTCTCCCAGTTAAGCTCCAAATCATATTGGCGCCCCTCGTCAACGATAGCGTTCAACATGTTCTGGAGGTTGGACTGGTATTGGGAGACTATTAATGTGTCGTCGGCATGAAGAATATCCCGGGTGACCAGGTATCCGGGCTCCTCGTCCAGATGTAGCGAGTCGACGGCGTCGTCCAGCATGACAGTTTGGACTGCTATGAATAAGTATGGAGAAAGCGCACCCCCTGGGCGATTCCAGCTTTCTGCCATCTCTCGGTGGAGGTGCCAGTGTGGTCTTGGATGACGAAGAAGCGGGACGAGCAAATAGAGCGCACCGTTTTCATTATCTCGGCAGAGAGTCCAAGTCTCAACAAAGAGTTGCACATTGAGTCTGGCTTTAACCTGTCGCACGCTTTTGCCCAGTCCAGCATCAGCACCAAAAGTCCCCCATCCAGATTCGAATGTGCAGCATCCATCATGCGTCTCACAAGCATCAGGGCGTCTGCTGTTCCACATCCTGGGCGAAAGCCGTATTGAGAGCCACGCATGCGTGTTTCGGAACCCCCTTGCAACAACCTCTGGTGTATCAGTGCCGCCAAAGTCTTGTATCCAACTGAAAGTCATGAAATTGGTCTGTAGGTTTCCGGTATAGCTGCATCCCCCTTCTTGAGAAGAAAAGTTGTTTTGGCTCGCGTCCAGGAATCCGGAATCGATTTCTGATCCCAACATTGCTGACATAAACGTAATAGCTGCATCCCCCTTCTTGAACAAAAACTACTTTGGCTCGCGTCCAGGAATCCGGAATCGATGTCTTATCCCAACATTGCTGGCATAAAAGTAATAATACCCCCGTTCTATCACGCATAAGCACCTTCCAGAAATCAGAAGTGATCTCGTCGGGGCCCGCCGATTCTCCAGATTTTGAGCTTCCGCAAG